ATTATCTGTTTTTTGAAATGAATTATGTAATTAAATAATGGGTTCAGCACTGAATCAGCAGTTGAGGATCAGCTTGAATAATTTTTCAGTCTTAGTCCATTATAATCTACACTGATACTGTGACATTGTTACGAATTTCTAACAAAACAAACCTGTGATTGTCCAACACTGGGTTTCTCATTGTTGCTCAGTTTGTGTCGGATTCTGGCTCTACCCCTTCCCACCTTCCTGGAAGTTGGATCATCTGTTGCTCTTAATTTTTCAAAGTACTTCTACAAAAAAGAGGCATGAATGAAAACTATGTAAAATATAATTCATTCAGAAAATAATATTCTGCTTTTCTTTATCATTACTTCATGAGTTGCATACATGTGATCATATGTACTGGCTGTAGGGTTGGATACCGTTATGGATGAAACGGTATGATACCATACCGGTATTTTTGAAACGATACGGTATTTTTAACGGTACGGTACTATACCTTGATGAATGAGAATCCGGGTTTATTTTAATGACAAATATGCTTTCAATTATCACCGCTTATAACCAAACTTTCAATGTTATAATCTAAAATGTGTTAAATATATTCTATTTCTATAATTCAACCTTTTATTAAATTATGAACAAAACAAATTAATCTGAATCTCAATAAAATAAAAAAAAATATAAGAAACACCGTTGTCTAATTCTCTGCTAAATGACAGCTGATCGCTTCATCCGATCGCCATTTTACTTGGTATCACTAAACGACGAAGCATGAAAAATGGAGAGAGAGATGACATCACAAATTCGCAACAATTTTCCTTTTTAATTTACAATTTTTTTTTTGGTTTCTATTAATAAAACTGAAACAAGATTAATGTAAATATTTTTTTAATACGTGTTGGTTTTTCTCGAATATTGGTTGTAGAAAGGAAGTATCTTCCTTAATAATGATTTTGTTAATTAGCCTACCCTTTCAATGCACAGAGAATCAAGTTTAGCGAGTCTGGAATCTTTTTCAAAAATTAATTTTATTAAATCTATAACAATGTTTTAAAGATTATGAAATACCGTTATCAGTACCGGTATTAAATGAAACGGTATTTTACCGGTATTTTTGAAGTAACTATTCGGTACGGTACTGGTACCGTGTACCGGTGTCCAACCCTAACTGGCTGCACACAAAATATTAATGTCACATATTTTGGACCCCATTCACCAACTCACTGCAGTACATCAAAATTCACGGGAAATGAAAATTTGTGCCATCTTGTGAACTGTTTACTGGAAACCTCTATTTTTCTTTCATTCTTGCTCTCAGATTTTTTCCCTATATTTGTTAAAACTTTAAATCATTTAACAAATATAGATTCTACATTATATTGAAAATGTCAAATTATCAAAAAATATTAATTTTAAAACAAGGAATTTGAGGAGAATTTTAGAATTTAATTGCTTTATTTAAAAATTTCATGCTCAACATTTCAATTGATCTACATATGAAAAAAATGATTTTGTTTTACTATATTGTAGGAAAACTAATACAAGTAATACACTCAGGTAACATCTTGTGTATATCGGTAAGTATAAACAAGCAAGTGTCCTTCCCTCTGGGCTTCTCAGTCGCTTAGATTAAGCTCCTGCTCCACCCCACACCAAACTTCCCTGAGGAAAACCGAGCGGTTGAAAACTTTGGCCTTTAGTAGTATGTGTACCTGCTTCTCAATATGTAAGTGTAGTTGGGGTACACGAGGAACATCCACTTCGCTCAGTTTTTTCCCACGTCCGTAGCAGGTGCAGGTCAGAAATCCTTCTTCTTCCTCCTCCTCATCCACTTCACTCCCAAAGGGAACAATCTCCTCAAAGAAATCGGGGTCATCCAAGTTCCATCTTGACATGGTGTAGTCAAAACTGTACCAAGAATAGGCCTATTAATAGAAATAAAATGGGAAATAACTCTTCTTTATCAGTCTATGAGTATAGTTACATATGTTTAATCTCTGCGAGATCATGCAGATGCCGTAGAGACTAAAAATTTTGGTCTACCGGTACTGTCGAGGGACACCAGACCAACAGTTTTAGTTCCTATGGCATCTTGCCGAGATAAACATTATGTTCAGTTTTTTAAACATATTTGAAAAATAAGCAGTGTTTCACTTTGAAATATAATGCACCCAACCGACTGAGTGAGACTGAGATAAATAAAATATCAAACACGGTGACAGGTCCAGGAAAATCACTATATTTAGCAATATAGCTTAATTTACCTATATATTATAGCTTTATTTAACTATTTTAGAATAAGTTTCTGTTTTATGAAAAGCAGACCAAAAGTTGCATGAAAATTATGGTTGATATTTTTTTTAAAAGGTTTGATAAAAACAACCTAGGGCATAGATAGTAAAAACATTGCCTCTTTTAAACACTTTTTAACCAAAAAATGCATCTCTATTGTTTGGATAGCTGTCCCTCACTGGAAGTGCAATGAGGCATGACTAAGTGTGTTTGCCTTACATTGTGCTGAATTATTACCAATCAATATTATCTTGTTGAAAAAAACTGCTTTTCTTTGTTAAAATAGCTGCTTAATCACTGCTTAACTGTTATACATAGCCCAAAATCTTTTAGATCTTTGATTGCAATTGCACAAAAGGAGAAACATTTTTAAAGTGGGGTTTTTGGTGAATTGTTTTCAGTCCATTTCAAAGTTGAAAACTAATACTGCCTCATTATGCGACTTTTTGTCTGCTTTTCATAAAACAGAAATTTACTATGAAATAGCTAAATAAAGCTATGTTATATAGGTAAATAAAGCTATATAGGTAGATTTAGCTATATAGCTAAATATAGTGATTTTCCTGGACCTGTGTGAGTCACTGTCAAACATTGGATTGAGCGTTAACCATGTTAAAAGGTTAATGGAAAGGGGTGGGATTTTAGTATTTCATTAAAATTTTCAACTTAATGATAAATTCATTGGCCCAGAGATTAATTCATGTTTTCCACTAACCACAACTGCTCCTCAGCAAAGGAGAAATCTTCAGCTTCCCATACCATGCGAATGAATGAATAAACTCATTGAATGATAACTCAAGAAAAGTGCCGAAAGATTTAAATTTTTTATCCAATCAAATCAATGTTTAGCTTGGTTCCCCTATAAAGAAACAGAGAACCAGTGTTTATATCGGAAGCTCTCTGATTTTTCCCCAAGGTAATGGCAACTCCTTCAACAAGACAAATCACAAGAGCACCAGACAAAGGCATTTTTCCTTTGGACCATGAAGGTAATGGAGTTTATATTAATGTTAACTTAATGTTCCCCAACTTAAATTTTCAATACACCTACAAAGAAAGTGTAATATGTTAATTGTTTGAACTTCAATTTGAGGAAATTCGAACTATTAATAGAAACTGTGTAAAAAATTTATAAGCCATTACCAGATTAATACAGAGACATAATATCGTTTTTGAAGGGAGGAACTGACAACTTATCTGAAAAAAATGTTTGACAAGTGAAAAAATAGGGGTGATTCGAAAATCCTGTTTTAATATTTTATGGAGTTGAAAAAAGTGTGGTGGAGTTTCAGACGTTTTTAATTTACATAAATTTTCATCCTGATTCCTCTACATGCGACGATATGACTATTCATCAATAGCTGCAGAACTGTAGCTCTCTGCTTGAAAAAAATCGGACGTATAAAGCAGAGAGCTACAGATCCAAGCGTTGTAAAAACCTTCGATTTACGCCGACGATTTTTCGTCGCTACTGTAGGCATTTATTTCGTGTAGTTTAAACTTTCTCTGGCTCTTAGAATGGTAACCTATAATTAATCATATATTTAGCTATTTTTGTCGATACTTTATTTACCTTTTAGTGGTCCGAAACACTCCTGTATATAGTTTTATAATGTCGGTTTAAAAGAGTTCCATTTCGAAGTCCGTAACCACAAAGCAATATGTTAGCGTTGAAACACATGTAAAAGGTAAGTAAGTTGTCAGGAATTGAAGTTAAATGTTATGTATGATTAATTATTAAATATATTTTTAAGCTGGGGAATGTATAAAATACTAGCAAAATACACGAAGTGAGCGACGAAAAATCGTGGGCGTAAATCGAAGGTTTTTACAACGCTTGGATCTGTAGCTCTCTGCTTTATCTGTCCGAATTTTCTCAAGCAGAGAGCCACAGTTCTGCAGCTAATTCATCAACTAAATTTTGTGAAGGGGGGTTGTAAAAAGTAGTAACAATTTTCTGCAGGAAGACTTTAACAATGCAAAGCCGAGTCTATAATTATACCCCACACAAGAAGTTGCATGAGGTATAGATAGTTTTCGATAGGCCTGAATTTAGCGAAAGTTACCTCCCGTTGGCCGCCATATTGGAGGTCGACTCAGTGATTTTCCCTCTTTGTCTTACCAAGTTTAAGAAAATATAGCAGAAATATTTGGTGGAAAATCTTTATCAAATAATTTTTTTTAAATTAAGGAGGCTTCCAAAAATTTATATACTTCAGAAAAATAATGATTTCTAATTCAAAATAGCAAGTATAATATTTTTTAATTGGTTGAACAATGAAGGAATATGAGCATTTGGACCTCCAGTATGGCGGCCAACGGGAAGTAACTCTTGGTCAATCGAAAACTATCTATAATAATGTTTTTGACCTGTCGGTCAGTCACTGTCAGTCGGAGTCCTGTTTTTTTGTCAGCGCAACTCCTCATAAACTGCTGCACACAATTTCGTCAAACTTTGCAGATATTTAGGACACAATATTACTAGGAAATTCCGATTCCTTTATTTTTTCCAGGAATTTCCGCACTTTTACACTTAGATTTTAAGCCATATCTTGATTATAGAGATGAACAGTTTGTCAGCGCAACTCCTCATAAACCGCTGCACACAATTTCGTCAAACTTTGCAGATATTTAGAACACAATGTGTAGATGTGCATATTACCAGAAAATTCTGATTCCTTTATTTTTTTCGGGAATTTCCGCATTTTTACACTTGGATTTTTGGCCATATCTTGAATATAGAGATGAACAGTTTGTCAGCACAACTCCTCATAAACCGCTGCACACAATTTCGTCAAACTGTGCAGAAATTTAGGACACAATGTGTAGATGTGCATATTACCAGGAAATTATGATTCCTTCATATTTCCGGGAATTTCCGCACTTTTACACTTAGATTTTTGGCTATGTCTTGAATATAGAGATAAACAGTTTAGTTTGTCAGCACACAATTTCATCAAACTTTGCAGTTATTTAGGACACATTGTGTAGATGTGCATATTACCAGGAAATTCCGATTTTTTGCGGGAATTTCAGCACTTTGGCAATTGGGGAGGGTGGGGTATGTGAGCTTGCTCACTTTTTCTTTCATTATTTCTACCCTAGAGAAAAATAGAAAATTTTTCTTTAATTAATTTTTACTAATATATTTATTGATTTATGATTAAAAACTTGAATGTGAACCGTCCTGATTTCTTATGGGGCCATCTCAAAAGTTGTCAATCTTAACTTTTGAACCCTACAGGGATTTGTTAGAAAAACTCCAAATTATCACATTTTTTCTACATTTTTTGTATTTCTACCTTTCTGTCTATTTTGTATTATAATCATGTGTAATATTTGGGAAAGGTGGTACTGTTGCATATATGACTGCATGAAATTAAAAAGCTTCGCAAAGTAATATTCATTTGAATTAGACTCGGCCTTGTTAACTTGCCACTTAGTCTGACAACACCCACTCAGCCTCATTAATTTCACACTCTGACAGCAGCTAAGGTGTGACAGTGTCTCAAAAAATTTGGCTGTCCTCAGTATTTGGCCACCAGTGACTGAAGTACTTGACCCACATTTCTTTCTACTAAATAAAGGTATCCACACACAGAGACACTAATCCAGGCTCTTCCCTGGCAGGTCTCTCTTCTCATCTATTACATGTACATGTAATTCAGTAGTTCATCTCCCTTAGGAATACAAGTAATAAGACCTGGAATGATTATTAAAGTCAGATATCATTTACTATACTTGAAAATGGGACTATCAAAAATTTTAAGGAAACATTTTTAAAGGTAAAGGTAATGGTAAGAATATTTTTCTTCAAAATTTCAGGTTTATGCAAACAAGAAATGAGGCAGTACATGAAGTGCCTAATGTCTAATAACAGGGAAAATGCAAAATGCAGATCAGAGGCCAAGTCATATCTTCAATGTAGAATGGATAAGTAAGTTTTACAGCTTATATGTTCAAAGACAATTTTAGTCTAAATATATTTTCTAAAGTTGAAAAGTAGTATGTATATGAATGAAGAAAGTTGTTTTAAGTACCAGTATTTTCCCCTTTAATTTCTTCAGTGATTTGATGCAGAAAGAGGACTGGAAAAATTTAGGATTTCATGAAGAAGATAATGTGAAAAATCCAACTTGATGACATTTAGCAAATTTGTGTCATTTAAACATTTTTCTGTGATAAGGTCAATGTGAGATATATATGTATAGTAAGATACTCATATTTTATGGATAGAAACATGTCATATTTTTAGTCTCTGTATGGACTATTTCATATCAAATGATTCAAAATAAAATTTATAATTGTTTGTTAAATTTATAATTGTTTTGTTTTATGGTACATTGTATTATACTATAATTTCCTGACATTGTGGCTTGGTCCACAATGTCAGAAATAGATATATACTCCAATTAACACACCCTCTCATGCAGAAAGAGAGGTCAGATAGAGAGAGGGGAGAGACTTTTGGAGACTTTGAGGTACATGTTATATTGGTTGAAACTAACATGATATAATTTAAAACTAGGATACTATAAAACAGATCATTTATGATTACCTACTAATTTTATTTTTTGGAAAAACAGTCTCTTTAAGATTGAATTAATATGCACTCATATTGTTATGTGACAGTGTATAATTACTATAATTCATTTTCCTCCCAAAGACTGTCTTAATATGCTGTCTTTGAAAGACAGCCTAATCTCTTTAGCAAATACACTTGAAGAATTACCTGTGTGGCATAGTGTTTAGAGGAGGTCTGACATTTTTATGAAGTTGTAAAAAAAGTTTTGAATTCCCTGCCTTGTATGGAAAATAGTGGAGAAAAGTCCTTTACATGAAGCCTATTGCTCAGTAAGCAGATCCCCCGTTGCAAAGTCATGAGTAGAGGTTTACAATTTCAGCCTTTCACTGGGCTTTTCTCTAGTTGTAAGCTAAAAGGCCAGCTATTCCTTTGGTATCCACAAACTAGTCAAGATCTATAATATCTTTAATCTCGCAGACCCGTAGCAAAGTGCGCGTGAGGAGGGAGTCGGAGCAGGGAGAGAAACCTCCGGAAAATTTTAACAAGCAAGAAAAAAAACTTCATATTTGAAAATGTGATGGGAGGGGGGTTATTTAGTTGGATTACAGTAATCTTATCTACATGGCCATCCTTGTTTAATTCAATTTCTCAACAAAAATATGCCTATCATTTGTTTCATTGCTTTTATTCATGTCTGTTTACATGTATTAATCAAGTTTCCACCCAGCAAACGTAGTTCTTGCATGCCAGTCAATGCTGGGCACGTACGTAGTACAAGCCATGATTGACCGAATGTAGACATCGTCGTGCTGGTTTAAGGACACTACGATAGTCCCTGTTTCAGAATCGTAATCTCGACTGTTACCGTCCGTCTCCCCAAAGCAACTACTGACTATGTCGTCGTTCACATAAATGGCGAATGCAGTTTTACCATGCTCACCGGTATAGATAGTCCACGTAAATACGTAGAGCCCAGTCGCGGGGGCCGAGAACATGCCGCTGTGTCTGTTGTAACCTCCACCCAGATTTGTTGTGATGGTGTCGAAGATAAGCATGTGATGGTTACTTGGATTATGCTCTGATTTTGACATATATGCATAGAATGCAATTGGAGTTCCAGTGCCAATTGCCCTTTTACCTTTGCTCAAAGATATCTTTCCTGGTGATTCTGAAAATAAAAATCACACCAAGTTGAATGGGCTAACAATTGTCTAGACACTAAGGAACCTTTGCCATCAACTTAATTACGTGTCCAACTTATAATAAATTATAACAATGATTTCTCATTGTCTACATAGTTTCCATCGTCGGAAACCCACGGTCGGTCTCGCTTCTCTTGAGGTAAGAGAAGCGAGACCGACCGTGGGTTTCCGACGATGCATAGTTTCAAACCTTTCAAAGTTTTCTTATTGTATATTAATAAAATTTGCATTACTATAGTTTAGTAAAATGGTATCTTATACTCTACGTACATGTACATAATATGTTAAATTTTTAAAATTGCTTATTTGAAGCTTTTTAAAAAAGAGATTACCGCTCATTTCAATCTGTCCAGATCCTGAAGAAGGAATTTTTTCTTCCTTTTCCTCAGATTTATTCTTCGCCGTAGTGGACGGAGATGTCTGTAGGTCATCAACTTTATTCCGTAAGGCTTGGTTTTCAACTCGTAATTCCCGGATCGCGCGCTCCTGACGGACAATAATGGTTCTCAATGCTTGATTGTCAATTTGTATGTCGTGAATCTCTTGCTCTTGTCGCATCAGAATGCTCCGTATCTCACGAAATTCATTTTCGATGTTAGTGTCTGCAAAACTTACTGACAGAAATACTGACAAAAGAAATAGCAAATAAATGATCTTATTCATTTTCACCACGAACAATGTGTAATTGTACTAATTTCAGGAATGTTAGATAAGAAACAATATAAAACAGGTCAATGAACTATTTACCTAATAAGTAACCAATCCGCAACAAGTAATTTAGACCAAAACAAAATTGTTCCCTCTTTTCAAGCGATATATTTTTCTATTTTTGTAGGTAATAACATAATCGAGCTCAAGATTACGGAATTTTTAAAAAAAAAGTTTTCAGTTTCAAAAAAAAACCCAACATGTTTTGTAATATTTACGCAACAGTAGAAAATGCTGGAAATTACAGAAAATTGAAGTTATTTTTTTATATGATATACCATTTTGTTGTACAAGTATTTGATGACTCCCCATTCCCCTTCTCTACCTTATCTGTAGGGTAAATACACATATTTAATTATTTGTATTGTGTGCATAAAAAGAGATGACGTTGATTACTCGACAGTAATATGAATGTCCCTATAACTATTACCTATTTTAGTCAGAGTGGAACGAGTTCTGAAAATAAAGACTTTTTTCATTGAAATATCAATTATGTGAAGATAACGAACAATATTTGAGCTCAAGAGTCCATTAAACATTACAAAATGGGAGGGGAGCAAACACTGGCCTCCACAACATCGAAGGTGTGATCAGGTGCCACGGAGGAGTGATCATCCCCTGCTGAACGGTCACACCCGCCGTGTGCCCCTTGTCATGTTCGCAAGGCCGTAACAACCATTGAGGCAAGTGAGGCAAATGCCTCACTAAAATTTTACAGTTTTCTAAAAAGTGAAAAAGTTTTACATTGAACTAATATGAAACATAAAATTATGTGTCTTCATAGTAAATATTTATTTTCAACTTTTGTTTCAATTTTTCCAAATCGTTCATCTTACCAGTTTTCCATTTAGAACGCATGTAAAATATAATTCAAACGTTTGTTTTGTAAATTGATTGTTTAACACCCCTTCTAAGATTTTATCATTCATATTGAGACACCACTACTTGCCGGTGGAGGGCTGCACTGGGCTTTCCGGGTCATTGAAGATGATTGAAGAGTGAGAGAACTTTTTTTGTGTCATCTCTTACTGTGGCATACAATGTAGGACCTCGGATTTTACGGTCTCATCCGAAGGACCTGTCTCTACATCCTGTAGTGGGATTCGAACCCGCGATGTAAGGATCAACTCCTTAGTCTTCGACTCTACAGCATACGCTATAACCACTGTGCCATGCGGGCGAAAAAATACTTTCCAAAATTAAATCTTTTGTTTTCTAATACCCAGTTTCAGGACCCCCCCCCCCCCTGGAAACCCCCATCACTGACCATCAGGTACTACCTTTGCCCCGACTGGAACTAAAATGCCCAGCACCTTTGCCTCACTAAATATTTGAGCCTAGTTACGGCCTTGGTTCGGGATAACCCCTGGAAAAATCCGTGGACAACTCAGTGTGTAAATAATGGCCAAATAATGGACAATTAGTATGAAAAAAGTCAGCATTTGACTTAATGGTAAATTGTATTTGCTGACAAAGCCATTGTATCTACCATAGAATTTACGAAATGACGACTTTATACGAGACTGCTGATTTCCTTGCTTCTTCAACTGGTTTTCCAATAATTTACCTCGTTTAATAAATGTTCGTATGTAGAACATGATTTCACGTATCGAATCGACTGAGATATATAAACTCCGTATGCAGACGGCAAAAGTAAATTGCTGCATAAACAAGGGAAGTTGACGATTGAAAAGTTTAAGTCAGGCCAAAATAAAAATTACCTTTGTTTCCCCTAACGCGACCGACTCAATTAAATCGCACCGACTGAAAAGATTTTTTAAATAAGATGATTCAAAAATTATTTTTATTGTTAACCAAGTTAGATAAAATACAATTTCATCAAAATCAGTTTTTATAAGAATGGCCCACATTGTTCTACTGTGATTTTCAAGCATTTGTTGGAAACAAAATGGCATCCAGATATGTGATTATAGGGTATTAGCTCTTCATTAAACAATGGCGACGTCTCATGAGTTTAGCTAATTGGAATCCTTCACTATTGAAACAATTTAATAATAAAATTTATCATGACTAATTAAGAGTATTTCGGAGGTGTCTTGTCGTCTCCATATGAGTGAATAAAGTTTCGAAAAGGACGTTAAACAACAACAAACCTGTCTTTGAATTTAAGGTACGTATACATGGTAAGGTCCGCCTCATTAGTAGATGAGGCGCCCACCTAGTGAACGGATCATTCAATTTCACTGCATTTTATCTAATTTGAGTTTGATCTAATAAACAATTTATCTATATGTTCCTAGGTTTACTATATGTTTACTATAAGATATTATGGAATCATATATAGGAGTTGTTGTAAATATGTCTGCATATTCATCCTGATCAATATAATTCAGATGTCCTTTCTTCCTGCCTTTATTTAGTGGTTAAACTTCGTGACTATAACATAGTATACAGCGTTTTATCATTTGTAGGTTTGGTTCAATTAAATATTGTTAAAATACTCTTTCCAAATAGTTTTGAAATCATTTTCAGCTTCCTGATACGTCCAGTGTATTTGTCTTGAATTTGGCCCTTGAAGTCTTTCTTAACTTTTAATTCCTTCGAGATTTGTTAGGACGACATTTAAACATTTCCCCATTGCTCCAAATTTAGACGTACTCTGCACTTTTTTGCCATTAAGCAGTGGGGGATTTTTTTTTCTTGAACCAGCATCTTCTGCGATACTGGACACAAGTTTTATGGTCCCCTTTGAAGGACCGTTCCCAACGTTACTCATTGGGATTTGAGCCTGCGATTTAAAATTAGCCACTTCTTAAAGCAAAATGCTCCCGAACCACTGCAAATCTCATAGCCCTCAAAAAATACATTGATTGTCTATAAACTCTGAAGGCCGATGAAAGGTTTGAAAAAAAA